ACAGTATATTTATTATATTTATTATAATAATATGTTGTTATATTGTTATTAAGATCATTGAATTAGCCTACATTCCAAGCTATCAGAATTTCATCTTACTTTTTGGCCATATAAATAGCATCTGCACCAAATTGCTTTATTTTGCTCAGTTTGGGCTTCTAAAAAAATGTAAGTGTTTTTCTCCTTGAGTATGAGCCCCATATTCTCATTTTATCAAGTCGAGTTACATTTATTTCTGTAGCACTTTACAAAATACATATACAAAAAAAAAATACTGAGAAAATAAATACAGAAAAAATCCTACATGATAACTGGCTTTCTGTCTTCCTGACACTAACTTGAGTTTTGTCTGTGTTTTGTAAAGCATAATGTCGGATAAAAGTGAGCTGAAAGCTGAGCTTGAGCGAAAGAAACAGCGCTTGGCTCAGATAAGAGAGGAGAAGAAGAGAAAGGAGGAGGAACGCAAGAAAAAAGAGGTGAAAACACACCATACTCTACTTTTTTTACTTGTATTAATATTAAGCAATCAATCCACCAGAAACTTCAGCTCTATCTTCAGATTTTCAGGCACATTTCATGAATGCAGTACAAAAGAGCCTTTTTTCCCCCTTCTTTTTCTACAAATAGCCAGTAAGTTCTGTCAAACTTGGGAGGTCAAATAACATATTAGCTTTTATGATATAAGCGTATATAATATTAGTCATGTTTTGATTGTTTTCTATTCTTTTCATATGTGACCCTGGACCACAAAACAAGTCACAAGGGTCAAAAGCTGAATAAATAAACTTTCCATTGAGGTATGGTTTGTTAGGATCGGACAATATTTGGCCGAGATACAACTATTTGAAAATCTGGAATCTTGAGGGTGCAAAAAAATCAAAATATTGAGAAAATTGCCTTTAAAGTTGTCCAAATGAAGTTCTTAGCAATGCATATTAGTAATCAAAAATTAAGTTTTGATATATTTACAGTAGGAAATTTACAAAATATCTTCATGGAACATGATCTTTACTTAATATCCTAATGATTTTTGGCATAAAATAAAAATCTATAATTTTGACCCATACAATGTATTTTTGGCTATTGCTACAAATATCCCCGTGCAACTTAAGACTGCTTTTGTGCTCCAGGGTCACATATGAGGTTAGGTATTTTGTATTTCTTTTGACATTTGCAAAGGTCTTGATAGTTAGACAGTGTTAGTTCCAGTTATTGATAAACTTACTTTTCCTATAAATGAAAACAGAAATATATGTTTATGTTTAATCATTTTTCTTGCAATAACTTTAGTAACAGGGCTGAGTGGGTGAGCTTGATGAATGCAGTCAACACTACAATTTGTGTCAACATTGAGTAAATTCAGTAGGAAGTAAACAGAGTCAGATTGCTGGTTTTTGTTCTTTGGGAACAACAGAAAAACAGGTTAGTTTTTTGATGAAGTGTTTGTTTCACTCTGTTTTGTTTGTCAGGCTGAGCTGAAGAAGGAGCCCGTCCCACTGCAGGATGATTCAGACCTGGAGAAAAAGCGCAGGGAGGCTGATGCTCTGCTACAGAGTATGGGCATCACACCAGACGCACCTGTGGGTAAGTCACCTGTGCACCCGAGCCACGTCCACTGTAGTGTCAGTCAGACTTCTAATATAAAATATCCCTGGGATATGAGATCCCTTTATGCATCAGCAAGACCACCCCTTGCAGTCTAAGTCAATAATATGCTATGTGGACCTGATTTCAAGCTGATATTTAACAGCACTAGTTCCTTTGAGAGTGCTACCAACAAATGGAGAAACCTAGTGTAGTGTACTATATTGATTGAACACAAGGGGGCAGAAGTGCACCACAGTAGTTTTGATGGTGGGCAGCTAATTTCATCAAACACTTTTAGCTAAGATGTAGTATTTATGACACATTTTATATCTGAACGCTGTACATATAAATTACAGTATTGTTAAAACGGGCAAAAAATATTGACAAACTTCGTCAAAATTTGCATGCTCAAAATCTCAACTTTAATGCGTGTGACCAAGACAAACTAACAATCATTTAACACACACACACACACACACACACACGCACATATATATATATATATAATCTATTTGTGATTAGTTTGATTGTGTTTTTTTTTTATATTATTGTTTATTATTGCTAATTGTTTTGTTTAGTGCTGCAATAGTGGTTACAAGTTTGGAATAATTTAAATTCTTAAAATATTTTTTAAAGAATTGTCTCTAATAATTAATGAGCAGCATATCAGCATATTAGAAGGATTTCTGAAGGATCATGTGACACTGAAGACAGCAGTAAATTCAGCTTGTCCATCACAAAAATAAATTCAGTTTTAAAATGTATTAAAATGGAAAACTGTTCTGAAATTGTGTCTGAAATTGTAGTAGTGTTTCTCAATATTACTGTTTTTATAGTCAAATAAATAGCCTTGGTAAGTATAAGAAACTTCTTTCAAAAATATAAAAAAATCGTATTATTCCAAACTTTTGACCATCTGCTAAAATCATCAAAACACTAGTTCATCAGACAAAATGTCTCAGAAAAGTGAAGTTAGTGAGAAGAAAAGCTCTAGTAACTTTTGAGTGCACATGCATTACGTGTGATTGAATTGTCCCAATGTTTTGGAGAGCACTGTATGTAGATGAAAGTATGTTTTTGTCTTTCTTTCTTTAGTTCCTACACACATGTCTCCCACGGCCAAATCTGCAGGCAGTCCAAGTGAAGCAGGGAGCCAAGACTCAGGAGACGGTGCCACCGGGCCAAGGTCTCTCTCTCTCTCTCTCTCTCTCTCTTTTTCTCTTTCTCTATAGTGCATGTGGCAGGTCTGATCTGATCGGCACTGGAGAAGTTTGTGGCTTTAGCATTGCTTGAAGGACAAGCCTCCAGTGAAAGTGTTGTTGTATTTTTGTGTCTGTTTGCAGGTCTGAGCAGGTAGGGAAAGATTCTTCTGAATAAATCTCTGTTATTAGCTTCTTTTCACCTGTAACTAAAAGAGAATTTATTGCTGGAAACCCCCCTGAGAAGAAAGCAGGGGAAACATGAAAACATTAGCTCTGTTCCAGCACCTAGTGAGCTGCCTGCTGTGTCTGTGTTTTCCAGCATCATAGATGCACTCTTAAAGGGTTAGTTCACCCAAAAATGAAAATTAGCCCATAAATTACTCACACCCGAGGCATCCTAGGTGTATATGACTTTCTTCTTTCAGACGAATCCAGTCGGAGTTATATAAAAAATTGTCTTTGATCTTTCAAGCTGTTTAATGCCACTCAGCGGGTGTTGCATGCATCAGTCCAAAAGAAGTTAAATAAAAAGCGCCCATCCATAAAATAAAAAAGGCTCCGGGGGTGAACAAAGACCTCCTGTAGCGAATCGAATATGGATATTTTTCTTACAAAAACGCATCGATTCACTACAGGAGGCTTTTGTTCACCCCCCGGAGCCGTGTGAGACATTTTTTTTTATGGATGGGCGCTTTTTATTTCACTTCTTTTGGACTGATGCATGCAACACCCGCTGACTGCCATTAAACAGCTTGAAAGATCAAAGACAATTTTTAATATAACTCCGACTGGATTCGTCTGAAAGAAGAAAGTCATATACACCTAGGATGACTTGAGGGTGAGTAATTTATGGGCTAATTTCCATTTTTGGGTGAACTAACCCTTTAATGCAAAGTCTGTTTCAGAGTGATGATGATGATGCAGCCTTTTAAGCTGTACTCTAAAGCAGAATTGCATCTACAGAGAAGGTTATCCCTGAATCCAGTCTAGTAGGCCGAACCACAAAGACACCACAGGATTTTTCCTTTGGCTTTTGAATTTTTTGCAGAAAATAAGCTCTGCGACCAACAAAAGTTGGATGTTCATCATAATAATCTTCACAAAAATGATCTACTCTGTCTACTGACTTTTAACATCATCCCCATTATGCTTTCGACAACTCTTTCAGTCTTTATTTAAAACACATTTTAGCTGATATTTGGGTTGGAATAGATTGCAAGTGCAAATGATGAACACGGGGAGGCGGTAAAATCGGACTAGTGCGTAGATGAGTTTTCCTGTTCAGTGTGACGATGTTTACTGTCTCCTACATATAACACCTTGCTAACAACCGCCTTTTTCAAGGCAAGAAAAAGCTTTTAAAAACCACAGGAAGATGTAACTGGTGTATTGTATGATGAAGAGTAAAACAAAAAAATATCTCAATCTCTTATGAACCACAGACCTTATTTCAGGCATTTAACCAAAACCCATTAACTTCGAGAAGATGGAACTGGAAAGTGCTAAAATGGTAATTCGTTTTCCGCACTCTATTCTCCCAACAGAATAACAAAATAATTCAGGCTTATTGCGTGTTTTACTCTTTGTTGCTTTAATGTTGCTCATCCTTATGTTATATCTGTTAGGTGACAGCTGTGCATTATTAATACCAGATTCTAGTTTAGGGATTAAAGGAAATTTGAGAGTAAAACAATATTGTCACTGTATTATTGACAGTCAACATAGAGGGAAAATGTTCTGTGGACACTAGGGGTGTGCGATATATATCGTTTGCGATAATATCCTAATTGTTGTTTTAACGATGTGCGATTTGACATTATTGAGTATTTTGCAAAAAACTTTCGAAACACCC